AGAGCTCTTCCTCATATAAGAGGAATCTTTGGCACAATAAATGCCCATCTATAGCCCATCTATAACAGTAGTCTGTGCTAATTTTGCAGATGAGACACCCAGAAGCATGTCCTCAATAGCCTGGATAACACAGACAATACCAGCCCAAACATGCTGAGATGCAGAAAATTGCTGAGCAAGAATGAACATTCAGTGGGCCACACCTTCCTCGCCTGTGGCCATTTGCAGAGCAGGCAGTAATCCTCACACTTCACGTTGCTTGCCAATCCAGCCTCCTCATGGAAAAAGGTTGAGCAGCCAAAAAATACAAAGGAGAATCCAGAGACAAGAGGCCCAGGAAAAAACTGTGCAGCTTGACAACAGGCAAAGGCATGATGCGATAAGAGAAACGTTGCGGTCTAATGTAAGCAAGACATGATTGGGGAATCTATGCTCAACTCTGTTGGCTTTTTTTCCAGGAGTTGGTTTATTTCTTTATAAGATTACCAGCCTGCCTTTCTTCCAAGATGTCTATGGAGATCTCCCTTCATTTTATTCCCATGACAGCAACTTGGTGGGATAGGTTGGGCCTATTGGGAAAATCTGGCTCAAAATCATTCAGGGACTTTCATGGCTGAATATAGCCTAGAACCTGCCTTTCCCGACTCCTAGTCCAGCCCCTTCACCACTTGACCAGACTAGCCAGAGACAGAGACTGGCCCAAAGTCACCCATGGCTGAGCCTACTGGAACCTGGGTCTCCTAGGTTCTAGTCCAATACCTTAATCACTCTACTACCCTGGAGTTCAGATGTAATGTTACAGTAATTAGTCAATTACACCTACAAAGTCTCAACCTTTCAGGGGGCAGTAATGAAATATAAGACAAAACACTTCTGTGGGCAGACATAGGAAACTCTGAACAAGCAAGAATGGACTCTGCTTTCAGAATATCAGATGGTCATGCTTTGCAAAGAGTGGAAAGGTTTGATCACAGATGGGGAGAGCAAGCAGATGGAAAGCAAAGGCCTAAGTAAAACTATAGCTTTTATTAGATTCTCAGGGAAAGGGTTAATGTTGCATGTATAAGATTACTGACATTCAAGCTCTGAAGATTATTTTCTAGAGAACAATCCTCTATTGAATTTGGGGGGAAAAGGGCTACAACCAGCAGGAAATGCCAGATATGTTTATGATCCTTCCTTTCCACTGGGATTCTAGTTATAATCTATCCACTCATTCGTCAAATTTTGTTCCGCAGAATTAGGCCATTTGGCTAAAAGCTGTGAACTTAATTTGGTTCAGAGTGGGAAATAGTTGCTGATGGTTTGGGGAGATACAATCCTTTCCATTCTGCTTTTTTGCCTCTACTGTTCTTGGCAGAAAAACAGGGAGAGGAAGGATGGGAGAACGTGGAACTTCTTAAAGGGTTGAGATCTAGAAAGCCATATTGGTTTCCCCACTTGCAATGCAGAAAGAGATGGGTAGCTTTTACTCTATTTTCAGGCAAGATGAGTCATGGAAGATTGCTCTTTGGTTTATTATGAATAGGGTAATGGAGGCAGGCAAGGGTGTTTCCCCCTAGTTTGGTAGACAATGATTTAAATTCAGGCTCATCTTTTGGAGCCAACACAGCAGAAAATCTACAGCAGTGTGTGTAGTTCACACCTTCATGATTTAGCTCAAAATATGTGGGTTGAGAGGGGGTAATTTGACTAAAGCAGTATTTCTTAAACTTTTTTCTCTCAGGATCCCTTTCCACTTTTAAAAATTATGGAGGACCCCAAAAGAGCTTTTGTTTGTATGGGTTATATTTATCAATATTCACCGTATTAAAAATTAAAACTGATGCATTTGCTGCAGTGACTGCTTCTCACTGTTGTTTGATGGGAAATAGCAAATCGATTGGCAAATAATTTTGATTTCACGGACCCCTGAGAGGGTCTGGGGAATCCCCAGAGGTCCTAGGACCACACTTTAAGAACACTAAAGTGATCCCAATGAGGTTTATGGCTGAGTAGGAATGGAACTAGTCCCTAGTCCATCATGTTTACAATATGGAATGGTCAAAAACTCAATTTTCCTAAGTATAAACAAAGACTCTTCAGTAATGCACAAAAATCTCAGTTTTTTATTATAACAGGCTATGGGAAGATATGGGGAGCAGGGGCACTCAGACTATACCTCCCACAGCGTCTTTCTGTGCAGAAGTTAGCTTCAGTTTGTGTTTCAGGACTGGATTTAAGCTGAATTGGGAAAAATAAGAATCCGAACCCATGCCACTCGCCTGGTCCAATCCTACAAGTGATCCTACACTTGTACAATCCTACACTGAAATCTGTTCAGTCTCAAGCAGCTGGCTTCTTGCTTTTAGCAGAGTTGTTCTGTTCCTCTTTTACAAGGAAGCTTCCTACACTTTTGTTTCTGCAGGACGAGGACAGAAAGCACCAGCAGAACAAGGCCATGTAGTTTAAGCCTGGTGTTTCAGCACTGCACAGCTCTCCTCTGCTTTCCAAAGGCAAACAATCACCCTTTCTCCTGATTCCTGAAGAAAGCAGGGAGCCACTTGGTCATTGCCAAGCCCTGAAGCTAAAACCTGCTGGCACTATTTCAGGGGTGTGTGTGTGTTAACCTTGGAGCCATCACACAACACATTTTCCTGTCCAAAAAAGTGCATTCAGTTGCCATCACAAAATGACAGCCCACGTCTCTAAACAGGATGCAGAGCAAACTTCCTTGGGTTTTAGAGGAATATCTCAACTCTGTAACACTTCAGAACAGGAAAATAGATTCAATAGCATTTCCTCTTTGTTGCCCTTGACAGCAGTTCCCTCACCCCCACCCTTCTCTTGTTCCCCAATTCCTCCTCATGCCTTCTGGCGCCAACGCGTTCCCTGCCACATGAGTGAGGCAGCTGTTTCTTTCACTCCCAAGCTCCCAGCCCTTGTTCAGGCACACGCAGAAGCCTACCCAGCCGTTCATCCTGTGCCTGATTGGGCCAGGACTTCCAAAGGCCCACTGTGGTGCCATTCAAAAGCCACACTAGGGTAGAAGAGAACCTGGCAGCTTGAGCATGGAAAAAGACAAAGCTTATAGAAAAAACCCCAGTAAGTCTCCTGGCATTTATAGATTGCAATGTGTGTCTGTGTGTGGGAATGTGCCTGCGCACATGCCCTAACTCTCGTTTGATGATCAGGTCTTGCCCTGTTGATTTTGAAAGAGGGGGAATCATCTCACCATGGAGATTATACTGCAGAAGGTATCTCTGCCATGAAATCTCTTCTCCCGTGCCCCATTTTTTCCAATTCTTATAACTCGCCTGTTAACTTGCCATGTAGGTTCACTATTTTATGTATTAGATGCAGAGAGAGAGCAGAAGAAGAACACAGTCTTGGCTCTGTCGTACCTGGCTCAGAATGTGACGTCTGACACGTGCTGTGCTAGTACAACACATCTTCCATTTGCTACAAAGCTACAATAGGATGTCAACATCAGTCTTTCCAGAACTGTAATTTCTAGTCCTCACAGAAAAGAGGGATCAGCTTTGCTTCACGAACCGAATGGTCATACTTCTGATGGCCACATCAAATTAAAATAGGCAAAAGACACATACAACCCTAACTGCAGCAGGTGAGAATACATTTTTCAAGGAATTAACTATTTTTCTAAAAAAGTATATAGATGCTAAATAATAATTTATCATCAAAATAGAAACCCGTTCTTCGCATTCTTTGATATCTCAGCTATATCCAGACTGAGGCCTGCTCTGAACAAGGGGGCCAGATTTGCGTCTCAACTGTACTAGACAAAAGACATTTATTAATTTATTTATGTAATTTGTACAGCTGCCCCCTCATACAAGGCTCTGGAAAGCTTACAAAGGTTAAAACCGGTGATAGAAACAGTTTAAAACAATGACAAAGATGGCCATAAAGTCATATCAGTTCATAACAAACCATAATCTCAGTTGGGGGTTTGTGTAACATCCTGGCCCAGTGGCTGCAGAAACAGCCAGGTTCTTTTGAAGAAGGGCAGTATTTAAGGTGTACAGATCATGGGAGGAATGTTGTTCCAGAGGGCAGGTGTGGTGACAGAAGGTAAGCCTCCTGGGTCTCCCTAGATGACTCTATTTATTAGATGGTACCTGGAGCAGGCCAACTCTATCGGATCTTACTGGATGGGTAGACACAATTGAAGGTAGGTGGTCCTGCAAATAACCAGGTCCCATGCCATGTAGGGCTTTATAGGTGATAACCAGCACTTTGAAATGCACCCAGAAATTCAGTGGTAACCAGTGTACCTCATGTAGCAAAGGTGCTACATGGGTGTACCAAAGCATGCCCATCACTGTTTGAATTGCTGCATTCTGGACCAGCAGTAGCTCCCTTGTGGTCTTCAAGGGCAATTCCATGGAGAGAACATTTTAGTATTCCATGCAATTCCATGACTAAGGCATAATTTATGTGCTGATTTACTTGATATTGGCCATAAACATTAGTGAGGCAAAAGGCAAGTCACATAGCATGAACTGGCTATTTTCTGCACCTGGGGAAGAAGCAGCCATTAGAGTAGACAGGACCATGCTACACTGTCCTGAAAGTTTTATCTGTTCACAGTATGCAGTATAAATCATCACAAGACATAAATTCTCAGCTATCCGAAAGTATTGACCAGAAAAGGCCAATTTCCTAGATACCTTACCAATTCTATGAATGGCTGCTTGCGAGGATACTTAGGGAATAGATGGGAACATTGAAAACCAGGGCTGTGCTTGGTTCAGATATGGATTACTTGCAAGAGTTGATCTAATATGACTTGCGATGGCCAGTTGTCCTTGGACTTTCATGTCCCTCTAATTATTTTGGGTACATCCCAAGGTTTGTGGCAGGGAATGAGATAGGTTTAAATAAACTTGAAAACATTTTACCCAAAGTGTAGCATTCAGCGGAAGAAAAAAAGGCTACGTGGGTAAATATGCATGGGCTAAGCAAACATGTAAAACATGATAAATTGGAAGGCTCACTTGGAAAAGGTGTTCCTGGCATAGTGCATTATGCTGTCAAAATCGTACGTTTCGCCTAAGGATTCCACCTCTTCAAATTCCATCTTCAGGAAGTTGTACTCCTGCCCTGCAAAAGGAGCAAGAAATAGAAGCATGAAAAATGAAAGTTAACTTAGAAGGTATGGAGCAAATTCTGTTCCCCAAATGTTAGCAGGTCCTTTGTTTTCCTTTCTACATCCTGCTTGCTAATGGAAGCCTTTGATTTGTCCTATCTGATCGCAAGAAAACAGAGAGATGATTTGAGTACATAAAGAAATGCTGAGTCAGCTCTAGGTTCTTGTTGGTCAGTGTAACTAAATAAGCAAATTCACCTCATACTCGGCCACTCTTTAGGGTTCTTTGCAACTGTGAAAGACTGCCATAATTCTTCCAATATATTGGGCAGAATGCAAGTCATCTTGGCAGGAGAATATGCAGGCCCTGGACACACTGATATGCGTTTGGGGAAAAAGCAGTGGAGCAAGAATGAACTAGTAAGAAGAGAGAGAAGTAAAGAGGTGTAGATGGGAATGGATGCAGGCATGAGTTGATGTTGCAAAGGCAGGGGATGGCGAGCAGAACCCTCATATTCTACAAGAGAGGCAGCTCCTGTCTGGTTTTCATGCTTCATTCAAGGTGCAAAAAAGAACAGAAGAGCTTTTACCTGGTTGGATATTTTCACGAAAAATGGACACATGAGCATCCCGGTCTGGGCGCGTGTGCTCATGCCAAAACCCAATGACGTGGCCTAGCTCATGCACCACAATGCCAAATTTGTCACAGTTTTTCCCAATAGATATGGCCTGGGGTCCTCCTCCTCTGCGCCCCACATAGGAACAGCACCTGGGTTGGACACAAGGGATCATCAGATTGAATGCATTGCTTGTAGGAAGACCATGGAAGTCTTAGCAGAAGACAAGGAACAAAGTTCTTTGTTTTTTTCTGCCATAGGAAGTAAAAATCTTAGCAAAGGATAAAATGAAACTCTCTCCTTTCCCATATTCCTTTCCCCAGGAGACGTGACCCAAACAAAGAGAAAGCTCATGTTGCTGGAAATGATCCATGGGATTTCGAATGATTTCTAAATGTCCATAGATAAGGAGCCAAGAAGAATACTGCTGCAGAATGAAACTTCTAGACCTTCTATAAAGATGTCAGTTTTAAAAGAGCTGACAAAGAACCAATAGGACCAACCTCAACAGAGATATTAACCCATCTCTTCAAAGATTCTACTAAAAAGCTACCATTCCAACTATGAGGTTGAGAAACAAACTTATTTCTAAGAAATAGCAGCAAGAGAATTATCTCCTGATACCATCATTTATGGTAAATAGCTCATAGATTAAAACAACAAATGAACAGGACAACATGTTGTAGTCTGTAGAACTTTTAAGGATGGGCAACTGGCAGCTCTTTAAATGGTTAAGACATTATCAAAGTAGGTAGTTTCCCAGGTCTTTTTCCTTTGAGGAAATGTTTTTAACATTCACATGCAGTTTTTTTTAAAAGTTTTTTTCAGGCAGGAGATTTAAGGATCCCCTAAATAAGAGATTAGATATATCTGCCACTTTAAAATTATTTTTCTGAGTGAGAAAACAAAATCCAGGATCTGCTACCATCTGCTGATTACTTATACAGGGGAAATCTGATTGGAACTGCAGATCTGGATTAGAGAATAGCTCCCAGTAAATAAAACTGGATTGCATTAGCCTAAATCAGGCTTGTGCAACATGTATCTTTGGCTTTTGAATGCGGTACCATCAAAGAGTAGATTTCCAAAAGCAAGGGAACCAGAACAAAAATTAAATTAAAGTATTAATAATTATTAATTAAACACAGTTAGTTTTTACCTATTTAGCCATTCCCCCTTCTATTCAATATTATGATCTGTAGCATCCAAAATTTGGGAAAGGACACAGATTATGTACCTCTGGCTTAAAACATCAACAAACATACATGCTATATAAATCGAATGAGCTGCTTATCAGTATGTCCCATAACTGATCACACCATGAGATTCACCAATATTCTTTCTTTCTTTCTTTTTAAAATCAGTTTAGAAGCTGCCTGACTCCTAACCACTCTGGGCTAGAGAATGGTCATCTGATGAGGTGGCTCCATTGTTCATAATCTGACACTCTTTCTTAGCCTTTTCATGATATTAATTTTTGTACTTTTTAAATGTTTTTAAAATTGTTTTTTATGGTCTGTTAGTATGCCACTAAGAGTCATATCACATGAGATGGGCGGCCATATAAATATGGTAACTAAATAAACAAATAAATAAATTGCTTGCAACTTCACTGTAATAATTAAATGTGCCTCTTATTTTGCACCATTTATCACACTCCCAGCTTCTTCTAGTGCTTGGAAAAAAGCATCTTTCTCTGGCTGAGTGAAAAAAAAAAATCAAAGCACTACTATTTTACCTACTACTGGTAGAGCACAATGATGAAGAATTCTGAGTATCACAGGGGACTCTATGCCTGAAGGAGGAAGAAAGAAAGTGGACTGGAATCTGGTGCTTGCCTGAAGTTTCTTCCATTTCTAACAACAGCGCAATGTTCCATCTGTTGTACAGATACTTACAACTAAGCGCTTCCATATGGTGCCATGGAGAACTCAAGGTGATCATGTTTTTTAAAGTGAATATCAGAGTTAAAAGACCTACTATTATGTAACCAAGGGCAAAATTATGGGACATTAATTCCAAGATAAAAGCAGGTTAAGTTAACCATTCTGGGATTCTCCTCCTTGGTTTCAAATCATTCCAATCTCTGACTCAGCCTTTGAAAACGTTCTTCCAGAAATTCTGATGGCATAAACATGCCTACATGACAGACATTGGATGAGCAATCAACTGTCTTTGACCTTTGGTCTAATGTATTAAGCAATTGGCAATACTCCATATTTCTTGGCAAGTCTTTGAGACTTGAGAGCATTAAGATTTCCTCCTCCCTATCAGAGGAACACTTTATGCAACAGGTCTGTTACTGGATGACATATTTTGCCTGTTGCTTACCCACATGGCCTGTTTGTAAACACAATGTAGCTATCTTCATCGGTTCGCTCCAAGAAGGTGACACAGGTATGCTTCTCCCAATGGCGCATGGCCTGCCGAAAGATAGCTCGCTGGATGCCTGTAAGAATCCAAAAGATGGTTAGAGACAGAGAAAGACTTCTATTCACTATTCCAACGGTGTGAGCAGTCTACAGTTCTAAAGAACGTAAAACTATTACATAGATTTTTTGGAAGAAGTGGGACTTTCCACTAAAGGGAACAAAACTCTGAATTACCCTTTGGGAGACAACCCACCCTAACCCATGGCCTGGGCAAAAAGCCAGCTTTTCAGAGACTATTTAAACTTGATCAAGGTGGGGGCCATATGGATCTCTAGGAAGATACTGTTCCAGTGGGCAAGTGCTGTGACAGAGAAGGTCTGTCAGATTACATTGTATGATAGGTAGGACCCAACCCGGAGCATGCCAACTCAGTCCAATTGTACAGGATGGCCAGAAAGTATTAGTGATTGGCTGTTCCTGAGACAGCCCACCCCGATCTGCCTGTCTCAGGGACAGATAGTAAATTGTGAGCAGGTACATACAGGAATGGATTATGAAGCACAATAGATACTGCACAGACTCATTGAACAAATGTCCCTCAAGCTTCAATTCCATCTAGAAAAATACAGCGGCACTCAAAAATGAAAGAGACTGCAGAACAGATTTTGGACAGAATAAGAGGAACTTCTAAAGAGGATGTTCAGTTTGGGACAGCTGCGTAAAAGGTCAGTTTCAGCCTTGGCTTTCATTGCCTGCTTCCGCTTTTCAATGGCTCAGTTCAAGAGAGGATCAAATTGTGATTCAAGGATTTCTAAATTGCTATGGGAAAGGAAAGAAGAGAAAAGGGAAAAGGGAAAGCCCAGCTGCAAACACTCCAATATATTATGCATTGGTATATGAATATTAATTTTCAGGGAGGAATGATGCATCTGTCAAATGCTGCCAGTCAAAAGATCTTCTGCCTTTTTCTTCCATAATGGATCTCCCTCTCTGCACAAATGGGGAAAGAGGAAAGAACAGCAGTGGGAAAACTCAGAATAGCTACTAAGAGAAGATAATGATGTCCGCTGCCCGCTACATTGTGTTCACAAAATTGGATTGCACAATTAGAAGCCATCTCTGGAAACATGCCAAAGTCTTAAAAGACCCAGTCATACTCCTAAAATGTAGAGAAGCAATGTAACAGAGTTCGGTCAAAACAGATAGGATATCAACCCATCATAAATGAACACTTTTCAAGCCCATCTCGAAATTCCAACTCACCAGTGAAATTCCCACTGATCACATAAGGAATTACTCCATCTGGCCACACCCGCTCAGGGCGGGAAGTGGCAGCCCGCCGACTCCGAGGCCGTCCCCAGCCCTGTTTCCATCGTCTCCTCTGCTGCCTTCCAGGTCTGATGGCGGTGCTGTTTGCATCTTTCCCTGTGATGAGACAACAATCTAAGTGGTCTGAGAACACCACTTCTTCCCCAGGAGCTTAACCAGTTGCATGAAACAAAACAAGAAAAGAAATTTGTGTTGATCTTGTCAAATGCCATTTGATGATCAGCTTGTTCTGATGAGGTTTGTAATGCCCTTTGTCCTAAGTCCAAACCTCATGGCACTTGATCTCATCATGCTTCTTCTGTCTGCTGAGACCAATGGAAAGCTTGCCCTTCACTACCAAAGATTTGGCTCCTTATTTCAAATCAGAAGAGGAGGAACTGGCCTTCCTTCCTCCTGCAGCTTTTTATTTTCCCACCTTTCCTTTATCTCCGTACACTCCTCTCCTTCATCTTCTTGTTCCTCGCTTCTTTGGGGTGGGAAGGATAAAGTAAACATGATACTAAATGACTGAGCTTTGAAGCTGAGACTGTAGTCATGCAGTTTATAGATTTAATGCCCACTTGGCTACAGGTTACAGAGGTTTAAGAAAATCAGTAAAGACAACAATGGAAGACAACTGTGTTGGGGAGGAAGAAACTAGGTTAAACGTATAACAATTACACAGCTACACAGTGGCACAACGAGTAGCAGAGCCACACACCTCACCAGCCCAGTATCTGTGAGAAGAACCAGGTCTTAAGCACCTTTCTAAGAGATAGCAGAGTCTGGGGTGTAGACTTCATGGAGGATGCTATTCTGAAGGGCAGCAGAAGCTATGGAGAAGGCACACCTCTTGGGCCTTCTAAAGTGAGTTTGCTTTACTGATGAGACCTGGAGCGTGCTAACTCTGTCAGATCTTTAATGTCTTCTCCCTACCCTAGACCCAATCTAGATATCCTGACCCTACTCTTCACATTGGGATGAGTGCTTAGAATCATTGTCCATTTTCCTGTCCACGAAAAGAACAGGGACAACTGATTCAATCTACAAGGCACTCTGGTGACGGGGAGGATATTTTGATAACTCACCTGTTCTGTCGTCCCAATCTAGATTTTCCCTCCCTTATAGTTGCTGGCAAAAAATCAGGAGTCTGGTAGCACCTTTTCCAATTAACAAATGTTACTGAAATGCATTCAAATTAGCCACAAAAGGCTACTAGACTCTTTCTGATGTTTTGGCACCTAACACAGCTCTCCTCCTCCTACGTTTGCGGTTGCTGCTTACATCAGTCTCAGTAAAAGCAAACTATTATTTCAATTATTTGCTAGATTTATATGGCTTTTCTTTGAGGAGCTCAAGGAGGCATACACCACTCCCTCTATATCTCATTCCTTCTGTCAGTCTGTTGGGCCAATGTTACACATTTTTTAGCCAAAGTTTGCCTAGCAGCTGTAAGAGCACAGGGCACAAGAGAGTACCCACCCCACCCCGGCAATCCATTGAGCCTAATAATTACACTGCTGGTGTTATTGATGGTGATGATGAAGATGATGACGACTTGTACAGCCTGGATTCCTTTCCATTCCATTATCAGATTTATGTAATTTTCCTTTTTACTAATTCTGCTCTTTGACTTTTAATTTAACTGTTGTTGTTTTTTTCACTTTTGATCTTGCTTTTGTTGCATGTGTATATGTTGTATCTGACTCGTCAATGGCAGTAAATAAATCCAGCTAATGCTGCCTCTTCCAAGTCCCCCCTACCCCCAACAACCACCTTGGGAGGCAGTTTGGGATCAGAGAGAATTACTAGCCCAAAATATCTCAATGGGCTTCCTTGACTGAGAGTGATTTGAACCTGGATCTCTCGACCTTAACACATTCAGAGATCCTGTGCATCGCAGTGTTGGCCACAGCCCCTTTTTCATGTCTATTTGCATTTAAAATTCCATCATTTCTTTTTTTCCAAATGGGTGAAGCTATCCTGCTTCTTATATCTTCTTGCCGAGATTTTTCTGCCTATCCTGCGGAGTTAGAGATTCTCAACCACCCAGAGTATTATTCTTAATATTCAGCCCCCTGTGACACAGGCAAGCCAGTCTACTGCCAGCCTTTTGAAACAAGTAGTTGAGCCAGCTGCTGCCAGGGCCTTCACTTCCTCTGTCACCATTGTGCCAAATCCATAGTAGCTTCTAAGACAGGCTGTATTGGATGTCTCAAACCGAATGCTAGGCTCTCTCATAACCCCCAACCTGCACAAATCAAAATGGGCTCATTTGCCAAAAGAATCAGCTCACAGTTTAAACTGTGTAAACTCAAATTCAGTTAAAAGAGTTTGGGTATTTGTTCTGACCTTCCCAGTGCAGCACAGCTGATAGTAAGCTTTGGAAAACCAGAAGGCAGCAAATGGATCTGAGTCTGTTGTCTGAATCTAATTGAAGTGGCAATACTTCTCTGCCCTTACTACGTCTGCAGATAGTCAACTGGTGGCCTTGTTTAAGGTGACCCGAGTCCTCCCGGGGAAGGGGGACTTGGAGGTCTACCTACAAGGCTATGCTGAGGAAATTTGCAGAGCACCTGTCAGAAGAAATCACTTGCTTTGGTACAGGTCCAGGGGAGATAACTGGGGTACAGTCTTGCCCAGTTATCTGGGAACTGTTTACTCCTGTTGAGGCTGAGGAAGTGGACAGGGTCCTTATGACTGTGAGTTCAACTCCCTGCTCCTTAGATCCATGCCCTTCCTAGCTAGTTAAGGCTGCCAGTGTGGGTCTGTGTATGTGTGTTGTGTGGCTGGATCCTAGAGGTGGTTAATTCTTCTTTGAGAGAGGGGGCTGTTCCGCCCCCCCCCCTTAAGGAGACATTGGTTTGCCCCCTCTTCAAGAAGCCATTGCTGGATCCTGCCAAGTTTTATCCAGTATCAAACCTCCATTTTTTAGGGAAGGTCGTAGAGAAGGTGGTTGCACAGCAGCTTCAGTGGGCCCTGGATGAAGCAGATGATCTGGACCTCTTTCAGTCAGGATTCAGGCCTGGACATGGGATGGAGACAGCATTGGCTGCACTTTTAGATGATCTCTGGCGGGAGCAGGACGGGGGTAGTGCATCTGTCCTTGCTCTTCTTGGCGGCCTCTTGGCAGCCTTCAATATCATCGACTATGGTATTCTTCTGGACCAGCTCCCTGAGCTGGGAGTGAGCAGCATAGTATTGCCCTGGTTCAGTTCCTTTCTGCAGGACTGGTACCAGTTGGTGTTAATTGGGAGAGATCCCGCCCTTGACTCTTATTATGTGGGGTTCCACAGATACTCCCTCCACTTCTATTTAACATCTACATGAAGCTGCTGGGTGAGATCATCCATCACCATGGGGTGAGCTATCATCAGTATGCTGATGATGCTCAGTTATATATCTCTGTCCCTGGTGAACTAAGTGATGCAGTTGATGTCTTGTCCAGTGCCTGGAGGCTGTAGGGGTTTGGATGGAGAACAACAGGCTTCAGCTGAACCCTGGCAAGACTGAGTGGCTTTGGTTTTTTTGGGCCTTCTGGTTCTGGGACTTTACCATCTTTGGTACTGGATGGAGTGACACTGCCCCAGACAGATCCAGTGCACAATCTGGGGGACTCACAACTCCTGCTCAAGGAGCACATGGCAGTTGTGGCTAGGAGGGCCTTTGCACAGCTTTGTGTTGTGTGTCAGTTGTGCCCCTTCCTGGACCGTGAGGAAGTCACCTCCAGAATGGATTACTGTAATGCACTCTACATGGGGCTGCCCTTGAAGAGCATCCAGAAGCTTCAGCTGGTGCAGAATGTGGCTGTGTGGACAGTTATGTATGCCCCTAGAAGGGCACACATGATACCTCTATTCCACAAACTGCATTGGTTGCCACTTTGCTTCCGGGTGCAATTCAAGGTGCTGGTTTTGACCTTTAAAGCCGTACATGGCATGGGACCAGATTATTTGAGGGACCGCTTCTTCCCAATTACATCTACACATCCCCCCACGTCAGGCAGGAGGCATATGCTGCGGTCCCATCCCCAAAGGAGCTCCATCTGGTGGGACCCAGGTGGAGTGCCTTTTCTGCTGTGGCCCCTGCTCTCTGGAACATCATTCCCCCACAAGGTGAGGTTAGCCCCAACTTTGTTAGTCTTCCAGAAGACCCTTAAAACATGTTTTTTTCACCAGCCTTGAGGATCCCAGGGAGAGCCTGCAAGGTGGCTGTATGAGATTAAGTGAAGTTTGTTCTCCTGCTTTCTTGGGTTTATCTGTTTATTTTATTAATTTTTGATTGTACACCACCCAGAGCCACGTGTCTGTGAGATGGGTAGCTACATAAATATGCTAAATAAATAAATAAATAAAGTTTTGCTTGCTCCCAAGTGAAGAATGGGATGCTTTTTTTCCCCTTATGGTGGATCATCATTAAGACATAGTAAAACCTAGCTAGCTTATTCAAAAGCAATGCATACTTGCCTGTGAAAACACAGTTTTCACCCAAGTCTGGCCTGGCTTTGTTAAAACAAGATCAGAGGGAGTGCAAGAGGGCATGCCAAGATCTTTCTCTCCAAGTTCTTTGGAATGCACTCTATCAGTCCAACGGCCGCCACAGCCTGCGAAAGCAGTAGCTGGCAGAAGATCTTCCCCTAAAAGTCCAAGAATGAGGAAAACAACACAGCAGTTCAAATCCAAGGCCGATGCTTCACAGCCCAGATATCTGGCAAGGAGAAGCTATGCTTGGCCCTTGCCCAGACTTAGAATTAGGATCTTAATGTCTGCCTGGAAACCTCAGATCTTTTCCACTGCCCACCCTTGCTCTAAGTGATAAGCCATGAAGTTCATATGTACAAGAAGGATCTTGGTCCCATTTTGGTCCTATCGCTTCAACCAGAAGTCCAAAATGAAGTCAGAACACCTCGCAGCCACTCTTTCCCACAATCCAACCACTGCCTTCAGGATTGCCAAAGCTGACTGGTCCTTTGTCCAAAAGCAGACAAAATTAGCAAGTTAAAACAAACTGGCCAACCATTAACACTTGAACAGTGTGCCTTTAATTGCCAAATTGCCGTAGTTTGAATACTACTGATCCTATAGATTTTCACCCCTTCTAGCCTGGGGTCTTTACTGTTACACCCTCTGGTGGGAGGGCCACTTTGGTGTAGTAGTAAAGACCCCAGGCTAGAAACCAGGAGACCGTGAATTCTGCACGAAGCCAGCTGGGTGACTGAACCAGGGCTTCTCTCTCAGCCCTAGGAAGAAGAAAGCAAGGCAAGGAGGCACTTCCAAAAAATATTGTCAAGAAAACTGTAGCGGTTTGTCCAGGCAGTTGCCAGGAGTCAACACTGACTCAAAGGCACACACACACATTCTTCTTGTGGACATTAGTCCACAATTGAACAAATGTCAGTGGCACAGAGACTTCTTTAATAAAGGGGGGAATCCTTCATGATAAATCCCATAATTATCCTCTTTCTACCAAAAAAACCTCAGCTGATCACATGGCTGTCCTTGAGGATGGTAGGCAATGGAACTCCGTGAACCCAGCTACTTTTGGCTTTTCCCTGATGAGCCAGGATCTTGCCAATGTTATCAGTGGACTTATGCCAGGGTGACTGAGCCCATTTTCAATTCTCTGTAGGAACAGCAGCTGAGCTAACAGTAGTATTGCAAATGTCTGATTTTCTTTTAACAGGAACATGATGGACGCAATACTGTTCTTTCATACTCTGTTTATCTTTCCTGCAGTGACTTTTCTCATCACTTTTGTCATCCTTAGTTAAGACCCCAGGGAAGGACTTCTCTGCAAAAGTTCTATAAAATGGAGGATAAGAATGGTTTAGAAGTGGCTTGCCCAAATCTTACATTTCTCCGGTAGTTTTGCCTTCTTCTAGAAAAAAGAGCTCAGCCCCTTCGTATCATCTGTAGAGTGAGACAGTTCAGGCTCTCCAAGACTGCACTAAAGAAAATCTGCCTGTTCACAGAAAGCTAACATGTCAAGAAGAATTACCTAAAGGCAGAGAGCTATGAAGGGGGGAGGGAGGTATAATAAAGTATGTAAAAGAATGCTAGAGGTTATCATAAGGCATGTTGGGGCAAGAAGTGGCAAGTTCAGAAGCAAATAGCCTGAGACCAGGCTGGCCCATTACGTGAGCAATGCATAGAGGCCAACCATTTCTCCTACTATGAAATTAATGGCTCTCAGTCCAATACAACATAAGGGTGGAAAAAAGAGAAACGGTGTTTGAATCTGGGGATGTGGCTTGAATTTTAGAGTTTACAATAGCTGGTTTTCTTCATTATTAAGGGCAATCAACATATCTTATCAGAGCTGTGCCCTTGATTCCCTGGCTGTGAGCTTTCTAGTTCAAATATTAGTCCAAGAGAAACCCACCACTGCAATTGATATGCCTTACATGGAACTTTAGCCAATCTGTTTGAAATGAATGCAACAAAATTCAGAACACTTTCTTGTAGGGTGCATTGAGCAAATGTTGATCAGCTGATGATGTCAGTGACTGCTCATCATTGTGCTTGGACCCCACAAGTCCTCCTGTTGCAACTGCAAGCAGTGATTGTTGCTGCAGAAGTCACAGCAACCCTCAAAGATGTCTTTAATTGGGCAGCCTGGGTGTGGCAGGGTGGCAGACAGATTATTGGAGCCAAACACAGAAATGTCGTCATCATGGTGAGCAGGTGAGACCCTTGTGGTTGACTATGTTGGCCCTTTCTTGGGAAGGCAACAAATTTGTCTTTTTGGTGTTGCTGGCCAGTAACTGAGGCAGATGGGCTGAAAGATCTCTGCTCAGTATTAACCAGGAAGGGTGTATTCTCTGTAAGTGCTAGAAACACCCCGGAAAAAGGTGATATTTTAATAGAACAGCTTGCTTCAGCACGGTTCGGTTTTGAATCTGACATTAAGTTTTAGGAGATAGAAAAGCTGATTGTCTGGAACAACAAACTCCAACTACAAGCAGTTGCATAGTCATATATATTTTTTAACTGAAAGTAATTCTGCAATGTTCAGCAGGTGTCTTGGATTGTGGGTTTAGGGCTGCAGTCTTAATAATGCAAGTTGTGCTCTGCAGCAAAGAATAAATGACCAAGTTAATCACTCTCAACCTAAACTAACAGGATTTATGGAGAGAGGCAAATGTTAACGTAACTTAATTCCTACTAGAAAAGCAAGCAGCCTGTAGATCTACTGTAAACAGACTTGATTTTTAAATTAATAGACACTATTAACATATTCCTTTGTTATGAGAAGCGCTTGTTCACTTAATCATGAAATCAAATCATACTTCCACAACTACATATATATTGTGCATCACTTCAAGCTCTGTGATTTTTTTCTTCCCTTTAGCAAATGTATGGCCACAGATGAAGATTATGTGAATTGGTTGCAAGGCTGGAGGTTTTCATGTTTGCCAGAAAGTGCTAAGAAGCTTGTGATCATCTTATTAAAAGTAATTGTGGCTCCAATGACTTCTGCATGAGAAGGCACGTGATCTGAGTATCTATATTCTGCTGTTATTATTTCAAACTTTTGTGATAAGCTTGCCATCAGAAACATGGAAGTCACATGTTTCTTTTCTCCCTGGAGTATCTCCCCCTCTACCATTATGATTAGCAACCCTACCTGAAGTATTAGTAGCAGTTCTTTCAATTGTGTGTCGTGTGAGGTCCACAATCCTGTCCACCTGGAACAACTTGAGGTCCTCCTCATCCAACGCGATATCTCCTATAAAGGCAGCTGGAAAACAGAAGGAGAAAAAGGACTTACATTTTCACACTGAATGGATCTCAAAAAAACTTTTGTGCCAGGATGAGCAAAATCATTTGAATAAATGGAAGGAAGAAAAGGCATCAGTGTAGGATTAAAATAAACAAAGGTGTGCTAAAAATAATGATCAATGCTCCAGGTGTTTTGGATAGTAGGATCCCTACAGTTCTTTATAGCTGTAAAAAGTACAGTACTGAGAGCACATTTAATGTACGCATTGCTGTTCTTCAAACGCTGCCGACTTACTGCATGGATCATGACACAAAGCAGGCAGTAAAGACCCTCCTTTAAACCAGAAGTTGTTGTGTTATTGTTGTTCAGTCGTTAAGTTGTGTCCGACTCTTCGTGACCCCATGAACCATATTGCGCCAGGCCTTCCTGTCCTTCACTGCCTCCCTGAGTTTGCTCAGTTTCGTGCTCATT